AATTGGAACATCGTCGATGGTTATCTCTCCATCAGCATCAGGCATGCGCATAAGAGCTGCTACGAAAGATGACTTCCCGGCTCCCGTACGGCCGACAACTCCAATCTTTGCTCCTCCTTTGATGCTAAGATTGATGTTCTTCAGCACTTTAGGTCCTCCCGGATAGTACGTCAATGATACATCTCTCAACACAATACTTCCTCTCCGAGGCCAGTCTTGTGGGGGTCTTCGTTCTTCCTTGTATCCAGGCTCCCGATCCAGTTTGGTGTAGGTCATAACTCGCTCAACTGACGTCATGTAGTTTTCCACTTCAGAGGTTTTTCTAACAGCGTATTGAGTCGAGCTCAGAGTTTGGATGACATAAACAAGAGCAAGACCGGCGTAAGCTGAAAAGAAAACTTGGAACTTAAATGTATAAATTCTGGACTTGTTATCTCTCTACCGCTCAAAAAATTTAACGAAAACTTTACAGTCTAGGGTACCTAGTCTGGTCCAGGCAGTCACTTAATAGAAGGGATTAAAATAACGCGTCTTTCTTACGTCTTCCTCAGTATCGCTGTTTTAACTCCAAGCTAAGTAGGTGCAGAGGATTTATCAACACAAGTTCCCCTTTTTAAATCATAGAAGACACTTCAAAGTTTGTATAGCACTTAAGCCACCCGAGTGACTCTCACGTTTTTATCGTTTTTAGAAACCACCCGTTAATGAGAGAGCACGTATGGTCACACTTATCTTATAAAATTATTCAGTTGTTCATTCTGTGTTGATACACGACTATATAGATTCCAACATTACATAGAAAGACTCAAAGTCGTTACTAAGAATCCTGAACTTACCGGTATCTTGAGTTACCAAGATTGCAGCCAGAGCAACTGCACCGACTAACAAGGAAGCGAGACAATCCAAACGTGCACCGAGCCACCTACCGCTGGCCATCACCATAATGTACGCCTGATTATGAATATCTTGATATCTGAGGGGACGAGTGTTTATCACAATAAGTTTTAATAATGGGATGATTTTTTAGTTGACTGTTGAAAATAGACTGGTTTGTATAAACTTTGTATTACTTTGCTAAGTGATTTGTCAAGCAAACTTGCGAAAAACCGACCGCCTATTGGCCGAACGCCTTTGTCAGCGTTCAATACGGTTTCCATGATTTTACGTTAAGTCCTATGTCACTACTTGTGATCTTTTATTTTGTTTTGATTGGCTTGTTATTATTATCTTGCATTTTTTTTACGACAATCACTCCAAAACAATTCTTAAAGAGATTACACTGGGTCTCCACACTGAAGTGAGACCAGTGTCTCCTTCGGCCTGACAATGTAACGGAGCCCTTCAACAAATTCTGCCCGACACCCCACCCTCTCAAAAAGATGTTACTCTCAAATCAACATCCGTAAGCTTCTAGCTAATTGTCCGAAAGATCACTTCCGTAGCCTCATCTAAGTCTTAGGTATGCACCATTCGTCAAGATGAAGTGAGAGCCGCAAGAGCCGAATTTGTTAACGATGTGGATATTTTCCATTAAATTAAAATGGTGAATTCTCCCAAAAAAGACCAATTCTTAACTGTTCACTATCACAACTACATCCCTTATATCAAGTATAAAATTTATCAGAAAGAGGAGACGATTGGCACTTGTCTGTATTCCCTGTTAAACTCGTAATGGAGTCCAATTCGGTCAGTAATCATACGAGTTATTAACAAAATCGGACGACCGCGAAGCGGGAGTCTGATTTTTTTAATCACGTGTATTATTAAAGACATAATTCGACGACATGACGTTCTCTTACCAATTTATCAAAGCTATGACAAAATCAGAGAAAGAAACTAGACAACAGTTATACGTTTTCGTAGAAGAAAAGAAACTCGGCGAAACTCGCGACAACAGCGCGCGCATACACTTACACACAGGCATGACTTGTCACTGTCCAGTTACAAGCATGACACTTACACTGCGTTATTGGTGCTCAACTCGGGCCGGTGATAACCAGTCATGTTCGATAAATTTGTTAGTTTTGACTTATCGTGAAATTTCTGCGTCACGTGATCTTGTCGATTGAACGTTCATATTATGCGTCTGTTGAAATCCTATTAGAAGGACGAAAACCGCACAGAGCAATTACTGTAGTCTTACCACTGGTAATGCCCTTCGTGCCTCTTTCGGACAGCTTCGTTTCGAAGCCGTGCCTCGTACGGAAAAGTCCACTTGCTGACCAGTGTCTCAGCACATACCACATAGGATTACAAGAGAGGCGTGATGCAATTTCGTGTATTACCGGTAAATCAAAAATAAATAACTGACAGAAAATGAGCAATTACGACTCATTTCTGCCCTGTGCATTTATTGGCTCTGGCACCACACACTAAAGCAATGTCTCCAACATACCTGTAAAGTGCATCCACAAAATCTGTATGTCTTCGTCTCGTACGAATCGTGTCCAGTCCTATCAGGCTCTCTGAAAAATGAGCCAACACTGGGCTTCGGGATATCGACTCTAACCTCTTTAGGTCTCTGGCAGTCTTCAAGTAATAACTGGATAGAAAAACGACCAGCATGGAAATTGGAACAATAAGAAACATGAGCCAAACATTTGTGGCTACTGTTATTAGAATTTGGATAAATATCATCAATAGCATCTGCACTGCCGCCAGGAATGTTTTGGGTAACATCTCATCTACGCAGCCAATGTCATTGGAGAAGCGATTTAGGATTCTTCCCACCGGATTGGAATGAAAGAACAGGACAGGTGCTTGTAAAA